TGCTGCCTTAACAATGAAATTTTTGACTGCTGATTGTTTGCTGTTCTGTTCAATGTTATTCTTCCAGTTCAATGCGACTTTAAGTAGACAAAACAGTGGAAAAACATTGGAAATATCAGAATGGAAGCAGAGGATACCCTGTGAAGAAGAACCCCGTTCTGCAGGGGCAAGGACAGCAGAAAGCGAAGAAGAACTCAGATACTTTGGGGCAAGGTCTGCTGCAAATTGAAAATTGAAAGTTTTGCTGAGACTATTTTTTTTCTTTTCTAGTTTTTCCTTTATAGATGCATTTTGTTTTGCAGTTTGTCTGTGACTTTTTCCTTGGGGTTAACTATGTCATGAAGCTGCAGCTTGCCCCCAAATGAGGTAGAGATAGAAGACCTGGGGGGGTTATTTCTTTTTTTTTTGGTTTATGTAGCGAATTATACGGCAGATGTTTAAACTGGCAAAAGTTGCAGCAAAATAAAGCTATAAAAAGGTCTATATTCCGAGAGAACTGGGGAACATCCTTCGACCTAATAACATCACGTAATGTTTGAGGTTCACTAAAAACCGCACATTTCTCTTCCTAAAAATCGAAAATCCAGCGTAAAAAAATCAAAGCTGCTGCCTCGTGTTTGCCACCACCGTGTGTGGCATTCATTTTTCCAGCAATTTTCACACTCAAGCTGGCATGCACTTTGGCTGCTGCATTTCCCCCTCGATTACTCTCTCTCCCTCTCTCTTTTGCTACCAATTCCATTTCCTTCGTGTTATCTGACAGCTGCACTTACGCAATGTTACGCATAGGTACCCCCTGCACCTGCCCTGCTTGTGGCACCTAAAATGTATGCAACGTAGGTGCTTTGGATGCCCTTTTGCAAGGAGGTTATTCCATTTTTGGCAAGAGTCCCGCTACAATTTATAATACCTTACAAATTTTATAAAACTTATAGGTCTTGCGTTGGAAACTGATTTCTGGCATATCACTAACCAAAATCGAGGATAATCGGTTATACAAATTCGTTTAATATTTCATTAGCCCATAAATAACCATCAAAAAAATGTTGTCTATTCTGTCAAAAAGGGTATTCAAACTTCTGCAGTTCTTTTCTCTCTGCATATTTTATTGTGAAAATATGTGAAAATTCATTGGAAAGCAACTGCGCGAAATTGCACGACAAAAGCCCCCGACTCGTACATGCCATTAGGCCAGAGGCGCGGCAACTGTGCGGAAAAGTGTTCTGTCATTGCCAGCAAGTACCGCAGATATTTTTGCATTTCCATTGGCTGTCAATAGGAGCGAAGGTTTTCATTTCTCCAAGACTCAAAAATCATTGCTCGCCTTTATTAGCAATCATGACTAAGCGCTCCCTTCCTTGATGAACACTTTTCGCGGCCGCTTTTCTCTTTCTTGTCTCCTTTTTTGTATGCTGACAAATTGACTTGCCACATGGCCTAAAAGTGTGTGGCAGGCAGCTGCCATGAGTCGTTGCGGCTAATAACTCAATAAAGGAAGTCATGCCTCATGCCGCATGCCTCACGCCACTTTCCCTTCCTGCGGCTTACCTTTTGCTTGGGGAGGGAGACGAAGCTTAAGCCGATTTCCGCTTGTTTGTCGCACAATTACAATTTGTCAGCATTCGGGGCTTACAGAGTGTCCTTGGCCTGTCTTTGGGGTGCCAAGGATATATATCTATGTATATAATATATATCCGATGCCTAATTAGGGATTAGAGAGTGCGGCAAGAAACGGCATCACACTTGATGTACAGCAGACAAGTGACAACGGGGGGTAGGCACAAAGAAAAACATTGATGAGACTTAGAAAAGTGTGAAAAAACATAAATAATTCTGGGTTTTTTTTTCTTTCAAGATTTGGAATTAAAATGGGAGTAAAATAAGTTGCCATTTGCTGTATTCCACTTTTGGTACCCTTTATATTAAAATTAAATTAATTATAAGACAAAAAGAATTAAATTGTATGGCAAAAATATAAACAAATTCTTTAAAAATCTGAAATAAATTAAAAAACTTTTGGATTATTAAACACCCCCAAAGCACCTATATACATCGATGTGACGCTGTACAAATTGGTTCTTTCTCTCTCTGGTCAGGGCCACGCCTCTTGAGGCTTTGAGGCTCCTACTAATGACCGCACGTAGAACATCTTGCGGTCCTGCGGCTGCCATAAATAACAGTAAAGCGCATTTGTCATAGGACCTTCGAGTCACAAAAGGTGACCCCGAGTTCCCGAATCACCTTTTGGCCAAGTGCAATCCTTGGCCTTTGTATCGCTGGACGTGTTCTTGTGCCTGTAAATCAGCTCATTAGTTAAGTTGGCAGGCAGGCAGCACCTCCAATGGTCAGAAGCTCCATGCCATGCCACACGTATTTTCTGCTGCCCGGCGTCGTAGTCGTAGTCCTTCGTTAAGCTTCATTTAATCAAAAACAAAAGTTGGTTGGGAAACCACGTGAAAAATCACCAAATGCTTAAGGCCTACGCCTCGTACTCCTCGTACTCCTCGCACTCTTTGAATGCTAATAAATCTCTCGGTTTCGGATGGGCTATCAACGCTTTTCTCTCAGTGGGTAGATGGGTGTGGAGGGTTAACATACGATTTAGGGCAGTAAAATATCCATGCGCAGAAAGTTCAAAAGGGATTGCACGTTGCTTAAGCCATTGAAGTGTTGCAGGGGTCGATGGATGGATGTGAATGTGGATGGATGATACGTGTGTGAATCAAAAAGTTAATGAAGAGTTTTCTGCTGAAGGGTTCAGAGTTCAACGTGGTTCCATATTGTTATTGTTTAAAAACTAAGGTTTAAAGATAGTTAGAGCAGCGAAATTAGAGCAGAGAGCGACGATGATGAGAACTGTTTGGAAACAATAATAATAATTTGCTGGCAAATGCCCCAAAGGGAAAAGTAGCAGGGAAAAACATTAACGAGGGGTCGAAAAGAGCTAACTAAGCATTTTGGTGGGGGAGCGGGGAGAGGCTGCTCTTAGGAGAGTCTTAGGTGGTTGAGTGGGGGCGAATGATGGCTATAATGACGTCAAAGTTGTCAGGTAGCTGCTGCGGCGTCGCTTTTTCATATTGTTTTGGCTCCATTTAAACCTTACCTTTGTCCGCCACACCCCCAGCTTTCAACTTTCACCTTGTCTTGCCTTGCCCCTCATTACCCCTCCACTATGATAACGATAATGATGATAATGGCGCGAGCATTGCTGCTGCTGGATGCCTCGAAGGCTACTCTACGACTCTCTCTCTTTCTCGTCCGCTAATCTTAATTACTTTTTGTTTAATTACTTTGACGTTTTGGAGAGGCGCCTCCAACGCCTGCTGCCTGCTGCCTGCCTCCTCTGCTGCTTCCATTGTTTCCACTTTCCAACGCCCGAGGGTTGCATGCAGCGTACCACCGCAGCGGCTTCTTTTCTTTTAAAATAAATAATGTTTACTTATTATTTTTGTTATGCTTTTTTTCTGCCCTTACCGTTAAAACTTTTCACAGCGAACCTTTTTTCTCGCTGTTGTTTTTCCCACCGTAAAACAAATAAAGGCCTAGCATATGCTTTTAGGCGTTTCTTTCGCTGTTGCTTGCCCTGTGAATTAGTTGGAATTTTCATGGGAAATGCCTACCTACGCATATTTTGTAAACTAATTTAGTGATTAAAATCTGTAGAGGGCAAAAGTCCTGCTGCTCGAGGGCCAATGGCCTATCCAATTAACTTAATAATGTTGATTTTTTATGGGCCGAAAGTTTTGTCATTGACTTTTTGGGATCAAAATGTTTTGCCCAAGGACCTGACAAGACACAGCCACCCCTCTCTGAAATCGAGTGTGCGCCAGAAATATTTTGTCACAGTCCAAACGTAGAAGGCCATTTAGTAGTGTAGTGTGTAGGCCATGAAATTGTTTGATTGCACATTAAGTGGTGCCCCTCAGTGGCCTGTTTTCTATGTGCCACAGAGTACGCATCGCACCACAAAAGAGTGATAGAGAGAGGGAGAGGGCAAGAGAGCTCTCTGCTCCTGCAACAGGAATAATTTATGGTGAAAATCACAAAACCGAAACCAGAGAAAGAGACACCGGAAAAGTGGAAAAGTGGCCAATATAAATTCCACAAAGAGAAAGACTCAAGGGGCGGGAAGAGGAAATACAACAAAGTGGTGAAAGGGAGGTATGAAATAATGTGGGAATGTGGAAAATCTGTTTGGGTGTGTTTGTTTGGGTGTTTAGACGGAAAAAGTATCTTGTAATGTGGTTCTGGTATCATTTTGGGGAATTGGATCTAATAGAAACCTTTTTGAGGTGCATTAGGAAGAGATGCTAAAGATTTTATGTGGGTAAAACTATGAAGAACAATTATATAACGTTCACAGATATTATGATAGAATGAATAATGGGAAGCAAGAATGGGTGTAGAAAAGAAGGAATAACAAAGTCAATCCACTTTAAAACTTCCGCTAGAAATCCTTCGCCTAAGATCAACATTACCTCAATAAAGCCTCAAATTCTTTTACGACAAGTCTCACAAAATGCCTTACACATCCTAACATACCCTGCACAGGTAGCACTTGCACACCTACATCACCTATGTTGAATGGAATGGCATGGAATGTGTGTTTTATAAGCCATAGATGGCCCTCAAAAGTATGCTATATAAATGTTAAGGCCAAGCAGACAGCAAGAGAGAGCGAGCAGCCACAACGTGGCTTCTGACGTGTTTAAAAGCCACAAGAGAAGGAAATAAAGAGGCAGAGAAAACGCATTAAAAGTAGAGCAGAAACAAGGCAGCCGAAGGGAACCCAGAAAGAGATGAGCAAGAAAGGAAAGTAAAGGGAAATAGTTGTGTGGGCATTAAATATCCTTTGAAGGGAATACTCTTCCACTTTTGATCTCTGTATAGAGATAATGTCCTGGACTTGCCCAGACAGGCGCTGAAAAAGATAAATGTATCTTACAGATACACATACAGACAACGCAGTAGAAAGTAAAATCTCACTTTGCCTTGCACTCGACGTCAAAGTTTGTTAGAAAACCTCTAAAAACTTTAAAAGCAAAACGCCAACAAAATTCCAAGTTAAAATTCCACGCCCAAAATGGTATCCAAAACCTCTTGTGTCACTGCGGGAGTCCTCCATCTGATTGGCGCCTCATTCTTTTTACCTCAGCCGCAGAACCAATGTTCGGCGGCACCCAAACTGGGCAGGTTTTTGTTCCTTTTGGCCACTTTGCTATTTCTCGGCAACTCAAAAGTGATTCCCAGGCGATACATGCAAATGGCACCGGGAATCATTAGCTTTGTGGAGCTGCTGCTCGCCGTCTTTGTCCAGGAGTGGCTTATGCACGTCCTGTGGTGCAGCATGGAACGCTTCATCCATCGTATGGCGCGAATCTTCTGTCAGAACTGTTTTTGGTGTGAATTTGGTGTGGATACTCTCTCCACCTTGCTGATGGGCCTCTCTGCCTTGTATGTGGTCGCCGAGGTCGTGTGTCCGCCTAAGGTAAAGGCAGCTGTGGAAAGAACGATTGGCCGGGTCTTGGATCGGCTACCCATTAATCGAGGCAGTGGCTCCCTCGTTGAGAGGATCAAGGATCTCCGTTGCTATGTCAGAGGTGCCATATTCTTCTTTCGCCTCACGAGGGATCAAAGGATGCTCATCATTAACGTGCTTGAGGTTCAAGTGGAGTTGGCCAAGCGAGAAATTTTGGAGGCAATGCAGGCAGATCAAGGTCACTATCAAGATATAGCTGCGGAGAGTGAGGAGGCAGCGGCTGGGATGCAGAAACAGGGTGAAGATAAAGAGTCACTGGAATCATCTTTGGAGAACAAGGAACCGTCTTCAGAGATCACCAAGCTAATTTCAAATACACAAAACCAAGAGAAGCCTCTACATATCGACAGTCTGAAGCATCCTCTAGAGTTCCTAGGAGAAGAAGAACCTCCAGAGTGCCTTGAGCGCCAGGACGAGCCACCATTTCAGTTTTGAGATTCAACAACTTCTTTTCTTCACCTCGGAACCTTTCGTATAAAGGGAGCCACATTTGCCACCACAAAACTGTTTTTTTATATCTACAAATTTATGCCGCAACATCTGTTGTTGTTGTCACAAAACTTTCCTCCTGCGCTCTTTCGCTTTTTTTTTGTTTCTGTGTTTGTGGGCTTTCATTTTTCGATTTCCTTGTGGACATGCGGGCTCTGCCTTTTATTTGCTTTTCATTTTTTGCTCCAGCGAGTTTTATTCCATTTCTCTTGCCACCCGTTTTAATTCTCGCCTGTCGTCGGGTTCTCTCTCTCCCCTGTTGCCATGTTAGCCGCAATTGATTTGCCGTAAATTGTATTTTTAATCTGTCCAACAAATGCCATTCCGTCGACAGGCGACGGACGACGGATAATTCCACGATGCCGACAGTCATTCGAATATGTAGCATTTCGTTTGGTTTTGCTGGATAGGAATATCGGTTTCAGAAAGCGATTCTGTTTGTGTTTTCTTTAGACAGAGAGTAGAGGTAGAGGTGTGTGGGTGTTAATGAGCGTGTCAGTTGCTTTATTTATTTATTAGGTAATGGATGTCTTCCTGTAAAAAGTGTTCGGTATACCATTTCGTTCGAAGTTCTCTGAAAATGTAAGTGGAAAAATTAACAAGCAAGTTTTTCCTTAAGGTACCTTAAAGATGAAGAATTGTTTATTTTTTTTAACCAAAAAATGTGTTTTGTTATTTGGAAAATAAATGTTGTCCGTAGTTTTGAATATCTGTAACTTCATCCTGTTTCGAGACCTCTTGAGTTTGTTCCTGGAACTGTTTGAAACACCCTTCAAAGAACAAAGATTCAAAGTAAAGAGTAACCAAATCTTCGAACTCTACAGTCAAGACCTTAAATCGCCTCCAGAATTTCTTCTTCGAATTCCAATCTCAATTCCATTTCGCAGAACAGCCTACCTACTGTGTAAATATCCAGTGTATATTTATTTTGTAGATTTTGTTAGATGCAGCAATCAATTAAATTGTAAATTGAGCAGCAGCATCCCCTCCATGGCCCCGCACAACACATCAAAAAGAGGGGCATACAAAAATATACTAAAAAAAACAAAATTGGAGAGAAAGAGAAAAAGAAAAATAAAACAAAAGTCGAACATTATTTTTGGCAATTGCCTTGAAAATACATGCCGAAAAAAATAAATAAATATGATTGACAGATGAGAGAATTGCATTAATGTCACTCATACGACAACAGTTTTACCTGCTACCTTTCAACCCCCTTTTATAACACTCAACACCCTCCTGTGTTTTTTTTTACCAGTGTTGAGTAATTGAATTTGTGCCAGTGTTGATTTGATGATAGATGCGGAAGGTGCTCTGCTGTTTCTAGAGCACGAATAAAGGTGGATGGACAGATGGCTGCTTCAGCTGGAATCAACGAGGATATGGGTGAAAGTATATTAAATATTTCACAGAGCAGCCTCCATCCTTCCATGAGGCTATGGCAGGATTCGAAAATGATCCTTGACACTCCATACGAATGCATTTGGTGTGTGTGTTTTTATGTGTCTTGGAATACTTATATAAATTTATGGGAGTAATTCCTTGGTGGGGAAAATATATTAACAAAAAATTCACCTCTTATGGACATTTGTTGCACATCAATTATATTTAAATGGAAGTTGGAAATCCCTCAGAAATAAGCTACAAGACAAGAAAGATATGAAAAAATATTATTTTAGTGGGAATAAGAGTTAAATTTTACAGTTTTTTTTTTTTGGTGAAAACGGATAAATTCGAATAAAGGATAAATGTATTCCAAAGAAATAATTATTGGCGAAACCGAAGCTTATATCCTTACTACGGTCCTTCATTAAAAATCTCTGCTTGCTTTAAATCTCTTTGCTAACTTTGAAATGTGAGTTCTTAGCTGATTATCTGGACACGCACCGCACTCTGTGCGCTCAGCTGCTGCTTGAATCCTTGAATATCCCGTTCCCCATGCCTTATATGAACTCTAAACTCTCAACTGTCGTTATATGCTCACGAGTGGAGTCTAGGAGACGGGAGGAATTGAGAAGGAGGAATGGATATGGACGGTATATGGGAGGGAGCGTTGCTCTGCTGTCATCGCAACAGCAGTTCTCGAAAAGAGAAAAATATGTGAAGTTCTGTCAGAGTAAAAACATATATACATATGTACATACATACACTTTTAAATGTATTTTTGTGTCATGGCAGCATCGCAGGCAGATGAAGTGGCAGGAGTCAGAGTCTTGTTCGTGACTGCAGTAAATTCCACACTATCCACCGAAAAAATAAAAAAAAATATATAAAAAAACTTAAGAAAACGAGAACGTAGGACGAAGGACAGCCGCAATGCATGTCTGCAATTTTTTAAGCAAACATTTTATTTGCACAAATGCTAAGAAAACCAAGTGGAGGGAAGCAAGAAGCTTCTGCAAGAACTTGAGACAACCCGAGAGAATCCCTACATCAAAATAGCAACAGGGAGAAGTCTCTGGTATTTTTCTAAACATTTTTCCCTGTTCTTTTTCCTTCTTTGTGTTGACCTTTTGAAACAAATCTTCCACAAAATAAAAATAAAATCAAGGGACCATCGCATAAAAACAACAACAGCAAGCAGAAATGGAGGAAATCTGCTGAAAAAGTAGGAAAATGCATGGCATAAGTGGCATTGTTTTTCAAGTATGAAAGTTTGCAGGACATAAAGCATGAATTTTGAAAGGTATTTCAGTTGATAAAAGATGGTTGATATGGTGCTTTAGAGGAAGGTTCTGGAAGTGGAGGAACGGGAGAGGTTTTGGGAAATTTAAAAGAAAACGAAATGGTGTTTTAATTGAGATAAATTTTCCATAAATATATCGAAATAAAATGTTTCTCAATCACCCTTCTCAGGAACCCTTCAACACCTTCTTTCATACGGAAAATCCTTGTTGAACCTTTCTTTGTCTGCCTTTTGCTGTCCTCCTGTTGTGTTTTGTGGTCAAGCATATGGCAGAACAGAACAGAAGACAGAAGGACATGCTACACCTCTTCCTACTGAAAGCAGCAATCACGTAAAAACCCACAAAAAGCCCCCAAAACACACATACACACACAGAAAAAGTTGTTAGCCAATTTACTAAAATGTCCAATGGAAGTACGTCTCTCTCTCTCTCTCGTTTGCCACTCGTTTCGTTCTGTTCTGTTCTGTTTTGTGTGTGTACTTTTATCCGTGTTTCGTATTGAATAACAAATTATTTGTGGCATCTGTTAACTTGGAAAAGCTGGTAAAATGGACAATGAGCGGGCGTTAAACGTCGCTTGTTAGATGTCCGTCATTCAGTCATGGATCCAATCCGCTTGCTCTTATTTGCTCATTCGAATGGAAGCTTGAAACACCAGGAATTAAGATAGTTTAATGTTATCTCTACATCTCGAATGAAGTTCAGAGTTCAAACTATCTTTTTGCGGCGGCTGCTGTCATGCCCAAAGGAGATGTATACCCAACCCAAACTCAATCTCCCCTTCAGATACGTGAGTAATTTTCCAATGAATAGAAAATATTTTCGAGTAAGAAGCATATAACTTTTAATACAATTTGTAGGCTCTTCTGACCTCCGACCTCGTTGGCTCAGTAGCTCTCTTTCCCTGTGGTTTTGTGGCGCTCTCTTCATTAGGATTTTTCAAATGTTTTATGTTTTTCATAGCTTTTGCCAAAGGCTAAAGAATTTATTGCCGCAAGTTCAAAGCATTTTCGATGGGTGGCTGTGCCCTCATCTATCGCTTGCTGCTGCTGCTGTCGACACGCTTTCTGCATTTTCAATTGCATTTCCAATAAATTTCCAATTTTTCTCAGCCTCAAGTTCCTCTGAGTTTTCTTCCCTTTTCCACTGCCAAATTGTAGAGCGAAAGAAAATTCGCGTAGCATTTAATTTTCACATGACTCCGGCGTGAACTGCAAGCGAGAAAAATGCATTTTGAGGCCAGAGGTCGAAGATTGAGGCTATGAGGCTCCTCTGGGAGTTCCCGTGCCGTTGCCCAGAGTGGGCGTGTTAGAGGATGTGTAATTAGTGGGCGTGGCGTGTGTTAATTATCCTCCTAATTGGAGTTTGTGGTGGGGCGGGGCGTACGGGAATGGAATGTGGTTTAAAATTTCCCCAAAGTCCACTGGAGCAGCGAAATAAAATTGTTAAAAGTGGTGTCCTGCTTCTTAGAGACTTATGGGGAGGGGAGGCTTATGGTGTCACAAAGGATGATTACATTTGAGCTACTTTATTGAGGGATTAGGAATATTGCGTGGGTTAGATGTTGTCATGACGCATTCACTCTTAATGCCAACACTCTTCGAGAGCAAGGCTCATCAGACATCGATGAGAGTAGCTGAACAACGTTTTAAGTATTTATAAAAGAGTTTTACGGCTTGCCCTAATTTTTCCACTTTATCAATCTTGAAAACTCGTCCCATATTCTCTGTCCTTGGAGACTTTACTTACAGCCTTCTTAGGTGGTTTCCCTGTTGGGTAGTTTGGTATTTAGTAATTTTCCAACAAATAGTTACAAATGGATAGTAAAATTCATGTTCATAAAAAGCATTTAAAAATTTTATTTATTTTTTTTATTTATTAAAAATTCTTGTCCCCAAAATAATAGTCCTTAAATATTAGAAATTTTCACTGCTTCCCTATTGGTAGGTTTATAGAACAGGTACTATAGACCCAGCAGCGTCAATACCCAAGATATTTCCAGGGTAATTGTCATTATGGAATTCCCCTGGATTTGCTTTCGTTAACCTAAACCTATAGGTGGCTCTAAGCTTCTTGTTTCTACGTTGAATCGACTTCCTTTAACATATTCATCAAACGTACATATGAACATCCAAAATTGAACACATTCTAGAATAAAAGGAGTTTTTTTTCTGCCTCCCCAAAAAGTTACTCAAATAAGAAAACACAAACAACTTTACAACATTTTATTGTCAATTATTTTTATTATTACAAACTAAATTAAATCCAATCCATCTCCAAGCTCCAATGGCTCCTTCTTCAGTCCTTTCATTCCTCTCAAGCA